TATATATATATTAGTGACCCAATGACTGAATTAGAAAAAGGTCTAACACCAAACGACACTTGCTCCTGACCATGAGAAAGAATGATAGAGTAACCTAGTGGATGAAAGCATAAGTTGGAAGTTAAAGCTTCTTGCACCCATGCAACATCCCCATCCTGGGTGCTGCCCCTGCCGCATACAGCCTTTAGTCACACATTGCCTCCATGCTGTGGGCAGGAAACATGTGAAACCTGAAAGTCTACGTGACGCAACAGCTCCTGAACTCCTGATAACTCTAGAATAGCCCTTTGAGTCTGGTCCACATTCTGTGGGCCATGAAAAGATGGGAGAGGATCAAGGTTAAAAGTCCAGTCTCCTCACTGCATCAGTCTCAAAGCTCCCAGTACTGAGGCTATTGTGAAGGTATTTGTTCAGGTAGGAGGCCAGAATCTGTATTATGTGTTATGTTCTTATTGAGTAGCTCCATGGAGAAAAAGAATATTAAGTGCAGGTATATGGCTTCCCTTATTCCTTTGTCCTGGTCCCTTATTTTAGGCCAACTTCCTTGTGGTTCACAAACCTATGTCCTTTCTGAGCTATGACCCATTCCAGTCCTGTGGCCTTGAGCTGATCAATGAACTCCCTAAGCTTAGGTTTTTCAAGCTGCAGACTGGAAGCAATAGTGGTGTTTGCAGGAGATAAATTTGTCAGCTCTCTATGGTCGTGATATATCTGCAGAGGTCTCTGATGGCTTATGAACTCTGGAGCCACACTGCCTGTGTTTGCATGGCCATCCTAACGTTTACTAGCTGTGTGACAAGAATGTGACTTACCCTCTCGAAACATGTTTCTTCGTAAGCAAAAGAGAGATGAAAATAGCTGTGACCTGTGGGTTTATTATGTGGCTCAAAGAAAGCACCATTCAAAGATCTGGCACAAAACAGCAACCCTGGGAAGTAGATGAAGGAGGGTGAGGAAGTCAGTCCCTGCTGCTTGTATCCCTGACCTCATACTGAAAAGCCTTAAGGGTGAGACCAAGGCAGCCAACTTGTGAAACCTCCAGATTAGGGCTGCTTTCTGTCCTGATCATAGAAGTTTCTGTGTGTAGTAGAGTGTTAATATACAGACTTATAACTGGACATACTGCCGAGAATAATTGGCTGTGTGTAGCACGAATAATAAAAACCCAGAGACAGAAATTGGGATTTAACACGAAAACCAGAAAAGCAAGGCAGCCAAGCCACTGGTCTTACCTCTACCTGTTGTGGGGGCTGCGGGGCTGCATTCTGCCACCCAGCTCCTGCCACCGGCTAGCTTTACCCAAAATAACAACACACAAGCTGTATTCTTTTAAACACTGCTTGGCCCATTAACTCTAGCCCTTACAGGCTAATTCTCATATCCCGATCAACCCATCTCTAATAATCTGTGTAGCATCAGTCTTACCGGGAAAGATTCAGCATGTCTGACCTGGCAGCTTGCTTCATGGCATCTGCCCGGGAGAGGGGAGCATGGCCTCTGAGTTCACTTCCTTTTCCTCCCAGCATTCTGTTCTGTTTACTCCACCCACCTATGTTTTAACTCGAGTGCCAAGCAGTTTCTTTACTTTTTAACCAATGACCTTCCTCCATCATCTACCAAGGCTGAGTGAACACCAACTAAGCAGACTAAGTTTCCTTCTCCTCTCATTTTATATTCTCTCTAGTGCTGGAATTAGAGGCATGTGATTCCCTAGGACTGGGATTAAAGGTGTGAGACACGACCACCTGGGTTTATTTTCTATACTGATCTTGTGTAGCCCAGGGTAGCCTTGAACTCACAGAGATCGACCTAATTCTGTCTCTTAACTCCTAGGACTAAAGGTGTGTGTCACTATTACCTGACCTGTGGTGGCTTTAGCTTTGACTTTGATCTTCAGGCAAGATTTATTTATCATAATACAAACAATATACCACTATAGCTGTGAGCCCTCAGCCCTAAATGAGATATATTTCCCTCTGTTGTCTATGGAATATCACAGAATAGCAAGTTGAAGCAATATAAGAGCTGCAGAATTGGAGGAGGGCTATGGAATGCTGGTTTTTGGACATGTGAACTCACAGCCCATATTACTAACTATAGGAGATCTGTCAGTCAAAATTCCAGCATGGGTGAGTGCTGAGGGCTTATGAGGCATCACCTTTAGCTGAGGAGTTATTGGCATTTGACGGAGAAGAGACATGGCTGAAGGACAGGAGACATTTGATGTATGGCCACTGGTAGGTTGCTTTTGCTTTAGTGGATAGCCCCACCATGTACATACTGATAGCACTAATCTGATTCAGTGGGTTATAAAAAGATAAAAGAAGACATAGGGCTGAAAGGGGTCATATTGTTGATAAATTTGTACATAGGGAATAACTAGGAGCTGACAAGAGTATAAAGTTCAAGTGCAAGGTAGCTTTATGGGTATAAGAGTATATACTTTGAGAGATGAGGAAGGTAAGGAAGCCAGCTGTCATCAGCAGTCTGAGTGCTTTGGAGTGGAGAGGTGAGTAAATGAAAGGACTCTCAAGGCATGTGTGTCTGGAAAAGGAGAAGGAAACAGTTCAGAGTGCCCTAAGTTCAGGGCATGAGGAAGGAGCATGGTGAAATCATTCAGCAGAAGAAGGCATCCGAGCATGGGAAATGACAAGGCCAGACTAGGGTCTTGGGATTCTATCGATGACAGATGGGCAATCATAGAGATTTGAGTGGAAGAGTTTGAGTGGGAAGTGTTATGTTTGATTTGTTTGTGAAGGACTGGAGTCTGATCTGAGGTTCCCTCCACATGCCACACAAGTAATTTACCACTGAGCTATATCCCGGCTCTTGTAAATTATGTGTAAAAGGAAATTTCTGGTCTCTGGATGAAGCCTTTACCTCTATGACTGCAAAAAAAAAAAAAAAAAAAAAAGGTGATAGACACGGAGGCCTCAGGCTAGACATTTTTCATAGTGGTTAGGTAGTGGGTATTTCTGAAGTAGAGCCAATGCATTTGTTAGAGGATGAAATGAGAATAATTATATTCACAGGCAATTATATTCATAGGAAGTACTGAAATCAGTGGTGGGGCAAAGTGTGCCGTTGCCACAGCTCTTGAGCACAGCTTTCTTCCATTAATGCAATAGGATCACTGCGTGATGGTGGTTGGGCTGATAGAAGGATTGGAAATATCTTTGGACTTATACTTTCATAAACTCATATTCCTTATGAGTTTTATTTCAGAATTAATTCAAGTGAATTCGATGGTTATAACCCTTCCCACAGAGATGGCATCCAGTATTTCTGAGAGAACCTTGGGAAAACAGACTTCTTTGTTCTTATTTCAAAGGCAATGACCAAGGTTCAATAAAACTAGAAGATTTACTTGGGGACACAAGTAAACTCATGGCTAAAGCTGAACTGAGAAAAGACTGAATTTGAATGGAGTGTTCTCCAACCTTATTGTCTTATTCTTGTTGATCTTATGGAAGAGATTAATCTAGAAAGAATTCTGGGATTGTATCAGGACTAGTATATTTTAGTAGATCCCATTAAACATTATGTTTTCTTTAGACTTTAGAACAATTACCTGTTGACAATGTGTGGTATACTGTGAAGTTTCCATATACATTCTCAGGAGAGCTGAGCAAGGGTTAGTTGTTCTTTCATCTAAACATGAAGATTTGGTCTTAATTCTTCTTCTTCAATGCTGTGTTGATTCACAGCTGCCCTTGGGGCCCATGATATAAGGGGAAACACAGGGGTGACAAGATTAGCTCTGCTAGCCTGTGTAATAACAGAGGAATAAAGGAAGAGATCAGAAATGTAATCTCTAATGGTGTCCTTTACAATTTCTGTAATGCAGAACCTAGAAAGGCTATATATCTCGTTGATCCTGAAGAAGTAGCTGATAAATTGCTTCAGTGGTTTATGTTAGCTTTCTGATGTTGCTGCAACAAATTTCCAGAAGTTTGTTCACCTGAACCAATACAATTTTCCTGTTGTGTAAGTCTGAAAGTTAAGAGTTCTCTACAAGACTCTCTGCAAGGAAATCAAAGTCTCTCTCCTAATTTCCCTCTCCCTCTTTACCCCATCTCAGTGTTCCTATCTCCATATTCTTTCCAGTTATTACAGGCTGCCTGCATTCTTCACATAGGGCTCTCTTTCTCAATCTTCAGAGTTCACATTATTGTGACAATGGCCATTTTCTCATGGTCACGCCTTTCTGTTTTTATAACCAGACAAGGGTTTCTGCTTTTCAATAAGCAATGTAGTTACATGGGACCCACCAGAATAACAGCATAACTACTCTGTCTCTAAGTTGTCAGCCTTATTCACATCTGTTTTTTTTTTTTCTATTTGAGGCACATAGTTATAGTTTTGTGAGTGAAAATCAGGACCTATATTTCTGTCTACTGACTGGAAACTTTCATGAAAAAGAAATGTCACCCTTTCTACGTATTTCAGATATTCCTACAAGTGTTAACTCACAGGCTTCATTATGCCTGCTCTTTAGGTGTTAGTAATACATTTATACATCTGCACAGATACAAAGAATGCAACCGAATAAAGGGATTCATGCATTATGGTTTTACTGAGAAAAAAGAATATATAAAAAAGTGTCCCAATATGTAGTAGATCTTGTTTCTCACACCATGAAGTTTAACATAATTGTTCATGGAAATATGAGATAGAAAATATCTATTGATGTCATTTAAGCTAAACTTTTTTCAATTATTGTCTTTCACTCAGTA